TGAACATTTTAGAATTTATTAATTACGATGGTTAATAATTTTCGAGATTTTGAAAAATTCTGTCAAAATTCGATGTTTAAATGCTTATAAAAAAAAATTGTGAATTTGTATTTTTAATATTTTTCAACTGTTATTGTAACAATATATCAGGAGCCTTGTATTAAATTTTTACACTTTTGGCCCAACAGATAAAACTTTATTGATATTTATAGAAAAAAAAACTAAAAAAATTGAAAGCTGTAAATGTCCATAAACAGCTCAAAAATAGTCAAAATATTTTCAAAATTCTATGGTGTATAGGAAATGCTAATATAAACATTCAGTGAAATTTTCATGTATCTATAGTTATTCGTTTTTGAATAACAACAAAATAAGAAAATCGCTACATGACAAATCGAGTGAATATCCAATGTTGTAAAAATTTGAATTTCAAACGCTCATAAAAATTTAATTTGACTTTCTTATAGAATTTTTTTTTTTGATAAATGTAGGAAATCTTATAAGGAATCTTGTATTACATTTTCATATCTTAGATTTAAAAAGAAAAATTTTTATGAATTTCTAACTCGAAATAATTTTGCAAATTTTCGTGATTTTTCCATATTTTGTCATTTTTTGAACTTTAAATGCTTAAAAAAAAAAACTGTGACTAACGATTTTTAATATTTTTCATCTGTCTTTGAAACAATATAGTAGGAGCCTTGTAATAAATTTTCAAGTATTTTTACTCAACAAATAAATTTTTATTGATATTCATAAAAAAAAACTAATAAAATTGGAAACTGAAAATGTCCCTAAACAGTTCAAAATAAATCAAAATATTTTGAAAATGTTATCGTGTATAGAAAATGCAAATATAAACAACCACTGAAAATTTCATGTATCTACGGTTATTTGTTTTAAAGTTACACCAAAAACCAAAATCGATTTTTTGGAAAACCGATTTTGCGTAAAAATTCCCGTTTTTCCTTAATTTTTATGTTGTTTTTCCCGGCGCTCTTGAAAACTACTGGGAAATTTAAATTTTGACCTCCCCAATGCACCAACGATATTCACTTTCCAATCGAACAAGATGCTGAAGTTGAAAATCGAAGCATTGTTTCGACTACTTATCGTGTACACAGACACAAAAAAAATAAATATAAAAATAAAAATAAAATAAAAAAAAAAACAAAAAAAACACACATCATTGTAAAATCAATACATTCATCGTTTCACTCAGAATCTAAAACAGGAGTTAATGAATGCTTAACCTTTTCCAGCCCATATAGCTTGAAAGACTTTGACAATTTAATTTTAGATTCTGAGTGAAACGATGAATGTATTGATTTTACAATGATGTGTGTTTTTTTATTTTTTTATTTTTTTATTTTTTTTGTATCTGTGTACACGATAAGTAGTCGAAATAATGCTTCGATTTTCGACTTCAGTATCTTGTTCGATTGGAAAGTGAATATCGTTGGTGCATTGGGAAGGTCAAAATTTAAATTTCCCAGTAGTTTTCACAAGCGCCGGGAAAAACAACATAAAAATTAAGGAAAAACGGGAATTTTTACGCAAAATTGATTTTCCAAAAAATCGATTTTGGTTATTGGTGTAACTCTAAAACAAATGAACGTATATACATGACATTTTCACTGGTTGTTTATATTTGCATTTTCTATACACGATAACATTTTCAAAATATTTTGATTTATTTTGAACTGTTTAGGGACATTTTCATTTTCCATTTTTTTTTAGTTTTTTTTCTAAAAATTTCAATAAAATTTTATTTGTTGGTTGCGAAAGCTTGAAAATTTAATAGAAGGCTCCTAATATGTTGTTTCAAAGGCAGATGAAAAATATTAAAAATCCTTAGTCACAATTTTTTTTTATAAGCATTTAAAATTCAAAAATTGACAAAATATGGAAAAATCACGAAAATTAGCAAATTATTTTGAGTTAAGAATTCGTAAAAATTTTTCTTTTTAAATCTAAGATTTGAAAATCTAATACAAGATTACTCATAAGATTGTCTACCTTTATCAATAAAAAAATTTCTACCGGAAAGTCAAATTAAATTTTTATGAGCGTTTGAAATTCAAATTTTTACAACATTGGATATTCACTCGATTTCTCATGTGGCAATTTCCTTTTTTGTTGTAATTAAAAAACGAATTACTGTAGATACATGAAAATTTCACTGAATGTTTATATTAGCATTTCCTATACACCCTACAATTTTGAAAATATTTTGACACTTTTTGAGCTGTTTACGGACATTTTCAGTTTTCAATTTTTTTAGTTTTTTTTTCTATAAATATCAATTAAGTTTAATCTGTAGGGCCAAAAAGTGTAAAAATGTAATACAAGGCTCCTGATATATTGTTACAATATCAGTTGAAAAATATTAAAAATACATAGGCACAATTTTTTTTTATAAGCATTTTAACATCGAATTTTGATAGAATTTTTCAAAATCTCGAAAATTATTAATCATCGTAATTAATAAATTATAAAATGTTCAGTTTTATAGCTAAGGATTGAAAATTTAAAACAAGATTCCACGTAAGTAGTTAATTCTCTTACCGAAAAATCTAAAAAAATATACAATCACAGTTTACTTTTATAGTCATTTTATGTTCAAATTTGGACGAAATTACATATTAAAAAACCTAGTTATTTTGTTGTGATTATATAATATTATTCGTGGGTACCTACTTGAAACTTCTAAAGTGTACTATTATATATATATGATAGTATCAGGGTTTGTTGTTGGTGTATAACGTGTTATAAGTACCTAATGGATATTGTGATATGATTAATTTGGAATTTATTTTAGGTCAATTTTTTTTTTAATACCATAGATATGTATATAATTTGTCTTAAACCTAGACTGATATACCGTCTTCGCTCAGAATCGTTTTTCTTATACAATGATATTGAATCATTGAATTCAAATTTAATAGCATCCATTATACAGTGACCCACTTGTAACCTACTGTACAGCAGAGCGACATCCACTTACCCACCTTTTTTTTTTAAATTTAATTTAAAATTTTGTTATTTAAGAAAGAATATGAAAAAAATACAATTATTTTCTTCATATTTTTGTAGTCCCACCAGACATATTTTTTGTGTATATGAACTATAGGAAATTTACGGATCAAAATATCGACACTTCTTTATTTTAGTTTTATAAATATAAGAAATTAAATTAATCACATTTATTTTAATGATTAAAATAATACATGGATATCTAATGTTTGTTTATATTTCATGCAAGCTGCAAAATTAACTTCGCGAGATTTAGAAAAAAAAATCAACAATAAAATAGTTTTAAAAAAGGTGATAAGAGTTACAATTATACGGGACTAGGAAATCCTGACAATAGGCAGTTTGATCACGATAAGTGATAATTATTTTATAGAATTTTATATAGAATTATTTTGGTGGTGTACTTTTAAGTCCAGTCAGGCGGGAAAGTAGTAAATTTAACATCGTTAAAATAGGTATTCATCAAGGCCTTACATAAAAAAATATACCAACATTCAGAAAGCAAATCATATAATCATAATAATTGTGTTCATAACTAAGTACCTATATTTGATTTTATTTTTTTTTTTAAATATATATTTTGTAAAAAATGTTATATGCCATATTTCTACTAATTTTAATGGTAATATAATCTGTAACCAATGCCAACCTTTTAATTAAACATCAAAATATTCGATTCTCGTGAGCTATCCTAATAGAAAATCATAGGGTTGGAAAAATAAGCTTTAATCACCTTCCGAGTTTTGAGGAATCTATTTATATAATTTTGAAAACAGTCCTGCAGTTTTTGAGTCTATAGAGGAGAAACAAAGAAACATTTATTTTTATATATTTTATATATTTATAGAAGATTTATTACCGAAATCAACACTAATGAGTACAAAAGTTGCTCTTGGTAACTTACAATTATTTTTTTAAAAGTTACAAATAACTTTATAAGGCATTTTAAAGAATGCATCTGTTTAGAATATCACAATTTTCATATTATTTGCATTGAATTTATTTTGTTTTAATTTTATACCTTAGAAGTTTTGTTACAAACTAATAACTATAATAAAATAAATTTACTTTCCTACTTTTTGTGAATACGATATCTGAGAGATGCTTTAATTACGAGCCCGTAGATTGTAGTAATTATAAGTTAAGTTATGTTTTTATGAAAATGCATTATATAAAATATGTTATATTGATATCAGATAATGTTTAGTGAGGGTCAAAAGATGATAGTATCGATCATAATGTAGACCTATCTAGGTACACAATCCACCAGTCCAGAAAATTTGGTCATGCTTGTATAATGTATATATATTATATATTGTATATAATAAATATATAATCAATTGGACATTGATGATAACATAAAAGGGTTTTCAATACTTATTACTTTTGAATATTTAATACCTTTAATTTTAAACATATTTACACATACAGCACAATATACATTATTTAGTAGGTAGATACTTAGTTTATACATAGTTTTTTTTTTTGTCATATTTGTTTTTATTTGTACAATCTGTATAAAAATATAATTACAATAAGCACAATGGAGGGGAAATACAATTATAGGGCATTGGTCATGGTTGGCTTGAAGAAGAAGCTATTCATTAATAGCACTTCGTAAAGTTTATACATAGTTAAAATTTAATATTGGGACTTGTAAGAAAGTCGTTTAAAATGATTATAAGTACTTACCTATTTTCTTCAATGTGTTTGTCTAAATTATTACAAAACTTCCTAAGACGTCATATATTTTGGTTAAGATGATTTGTTTATTTTTTTTAATTTCCTATTTCCTTATTTGACATTAATTTATTATTTTGTTAATATTGTTAGGATTTGTGTGAATAAATAAACTATGTAATGAAACTAAATTACTTATTAATTTAATTTTTAATTTGTTTTTTTTTCTAGGAATTGTAAGCAGTCAATAAAAACAATAACATAAGTAAAAAAAAGGAGAAACCATGTTATGTTTCAACTTTTTTTTTCTAATACTGCTTCCATTAATTAATTTTGACTTTGGTGATGCGCATGCTGGAATGAAAAATAATTCTACAACAGTACCTACTTTATGTAAGTTTATTTATGATACTAATCTCCCACCCCAATGATCCACTTGTCAAAAATCTCATAGTCCCCAAGTGTCCCTGTAATTTTGCAAAACTTCTTAAATGTAATGGCCTCATAATGCCAGATGCGTTATACTAACTACCAATTGCAAATTAAATATACTCAAAATAATAATAAAAATAAAAAAAATCAATCTGTTTCCTTAATGGGCTTTGCTGAATCTTCATCCTATTATTTATATATGTTTTTTTATGTATTATGATATTATATTATCGCTATATTTCAAATTTATATAGAAACTAAGTTCAAAATGATATAAAAATAATTTTAATTCCTTATACATTACGTTTATACGCTAAATGCGTATATGTGTGCTCACCGTGTCTCTCTGTCAGAAATTTCGTCGACATGGCTATCGATAAAATTATTGATTCCATAAAAATGTTTTATGTTTATTTATATTTTCAACAATAAACTCTCAGATTTATAGTTATTTTTAATAAAATATTGTTCAATTATTATTTGTTCGAATAAGAGTTATATTATAATAAATATGTGAGATACATGATTTTCTAATGTCTTTGTATAAACGTGTGTATCTAACGTGTGTATTATACCATATGTAGGTATTCAACTATACGTAGAAACTATACTTAAATACTTAATTATATTTAGTATTTACATTTATTATATAATACAATATATTACTGTTTGAGTAGGTACTAGGTATGTAACTATATATTATAGATAGAATATACACACATTATACATAATATATTTATTTGCGTGGTATCAAATGCAGATAAAATAAAATATGGTATTAATAAATTAAAATTTAAAACTATGACTTCCAGAAAAATTAAAATTATTTGAGTGAGTATGTCTATAAAAATTAAAATACATGGCTTATTATTGTCCATGTAATCTACATAACTTATTTGAATCACGTGGACTGTGTAGAGTTATGTTTACATATTGCTTATTAATGCTTGTGAAATTATAATAAGTTTTAAAATATCACGGCATGTCATAACGTTGTGATGTATACCTAATATGTATTGTCGAGATCATAGGGAATATGATGAATTGTGAGATGACAGTTAGATGGATTTGAGTGGTTGGGCACCTGAGAGTACAATAGGACTATGCTGATATTGTAATGTGATAAAATTTACATTTTGGCATTTTAGAAAAATGTCTGATAATTTATTAAGGGTTCAACATAAATTATTAGACCAATAAAACATTCCAAAGTGCACTATTTTTAGTTTTCATACAGGGATTAATAATGTTCTTAACTTACCTACCTTGTGCAATTATTATGTCTTAAAATGTATTAGATATAATTTTAGAGTAAATAAGTAGAATACTGATGTAACTATGCATCGTTATACTTTTTATGGTGACAGGCGGTAGCAATGTGCTAAATGCTAATGTACCCAGCTTTAAAAACAAATATATATAGGAATTAATTATTATTTTTGGGAATTGAAATTGCTGAGAAATTTAAAATAATATTACAATAGAATCCTGCACCGAAAGTGTAAGAATATGAATGAGTATCAGTATACTCAAAACTCAGTTTCTGTAGGTAGGTACCAAATCTAAAATTTAAATGCTTTGTTTTTAATTCCAAAAAGTAAAAAAGGAGAATGTAGGTACCTAACCTCTTTGTTGTACAGTAGGTGTCGAGTGTACCTGGTCATTAAGTAAGTCAATGCAATGTATGTGTTACATAAGTTCCCATGAATAATATTTTTGAATTAAAACAAAATATATAATTATCGCGAATTTGATGAATTATATAAAAATTTCAAATACTAAAAAAAAAACAAAATCGTGCCTATATAATATATTTAATTTTTTTAATTAGCTGAAATAACAACTTATGAGAAACCTTGTATTAAAATGTTAAGCTTGACCAAGTGAACATTTTTTATTGACGTTTATATAAAAAACTAAAAAAAGACCGAAAATGTCATCATGTATAGAAAATGCTAACTATTCACAATAGTTTTTTTAAGCGTCTGAAGTTATAATTTTGACAAAATTCGCCAAAATCTTGAAAATGTACAAATTATTTTGTAGTTAAACATTTATAATTGTATATTTACTCAATTTCTCATAGAATGATTTGTTGTAATTTCAAAAATGAATAACCACAAATACTTTAAATCTACACCAAAATATGAACCAAATGTTTATTTTATCATTTTCTATACTTGTTCAAATTTTCAAAATATTTTGATTCGTTTAGAACTGCTTACAGAAATTTTAAATTTTCAATTGTTTTGTTATTTTTTCTATAAATGTCGATAAAATATTATTCGTTGGTTCAAAAATCTTGAATATTCAATACAGACTCCTCCCTCATTGTTACAAATTGTAACTTACAATAACAGCTTAAAAACAATTATTTAAAGCTTAATTTTTTAAAACTATTTTGTAGTTTTTAATGTACAAAACGTTGAATTTATATAGCTAAGAATTGAAAATTTAAAACAAGGTTCCATGTAAGTAGTTAGTTTTGTAAGAAAATCTAAAAAATATGTTAACACTTTTTTTTTTATAGACATTTCAAGTTCAAATTTGGACGAAATTATATATTTAAACGAAGGTTAACCATTTTAGTTGTTTTGAAACATTTAAAATATATTATTATATTTTATACTCATGTTGACATATTTTTCAAATGTAATTTTTTTTAAAACAATTGATTTAACCTACTTGTACCTATAGTACTAGTATAAATGTCTAATAGTAAAATAAATTATTTTTTGTCACACCTGCACCGAAAGTTTGGTTTTCGATAGCGGTTGAACCGTTCGCAAGCGTCCTTTTTCCGTCCAGCGGGCGGTAAAGTGGGAATCCCTAATAGTGCCGGGCGGTAAAGTGGAAATCCCCAAAAGTGTCGGGCGCACATATCGTTATAGGCGTGACAAAAAATAGTATGTGTGGCTCGCGAGGGAAGGCCATTTCAGTCTTGAGCCAAATGCGGCCCTCGCCTACGGCTCGTGCTGCAAATGTCGCCCGCGACTGAAACGGCTCACTTCCCGCCCTTGCCACACAATATACTATTAATCATAATAATAACATCAAATATACTTCCTGTCTGCCTCATCTCATGATACTGAAGTATAGATTATTTATTAGAGTTGTTTTATTTTGTTGAAAAGCTAAATTTTAAGGTGTACCATAAAATGTACAGTTGTTTATAAATTTAATAGTAGAATTTCGTTGTGTTTAGGGAAATTATAATAATGATTTGCATACAAGTGAGATTAATTAACAAAAGTAAATATTTTCTAGTGTGAATTTGAATTACAGAAGGTACTAGGTATTGTAAGTTTGAGTTTAATTTAATGGTCTGTGAGTGAACAACCTAACCTAACCTACATTAAAATACAAAAACTGTTAAAAATTACTTTATATTTTTACACATTTATATGAAGTTTCTGCTATTTTGTTTTTAGTATATATTCAGAGAAATACTTTTTTAGATCTAACACTTGTGTGCAATGTCTGAGAAGCAAGTTTATGAGACTCTTGAGAATATTCAAGGCATTTGCCATTGATATCGTGTAAAGGTTGTCTAAACGAGCACAAGGTTTTTCCAAAACGGTTTTTCATCTCATTTCACTGGATTTTGGTGCATTAGCATTGTAGTTGTTTTTATTACGGTGCTAGTGAAATCATCCAAATGTTGTGAGTATAGTCTTTGGATAGTATAGTGTTCATGCAAGATAGAGTCTTAAAATTTACGTTTGTCAGTAATGGGGTTGACTATAAAAAAACAAACAAAATGTACGATCATTACGTGACATTTATATTTACAAACATATTTTTAAATAAATGTATATGCATTAAATGATATAACAACATAACTTAATATAATATAAAAGTAGGTATTACAATTATTTTAGTACGACAAATTAATTTATATCTTATAACTTTTATTAAAACTAACTGTATCAATTAAAGTAATACATGTTTTTAGACTATGAGTGAATCGAGGAATGTATAAGATAATTTATAGGTAATTGGTTGCACAATTATGTACCTATGTGTGTGTGTAATTTTATGAGTAATAATTTGTATTCAGAAAATAGTATTCCAAAAGTTTTGTTTTGGTTTTTCAATTGATCAGAAATTAAATCAAAATAATTGTTTAAACATAATTTTTATTTTATATTATTTTCATTCAAACATTTAAATTGAATTATACATTTACTCATTCAATAAAAAATCAAATTTTTAACCGTTAAATTCTAGTTATTTACCTCCTCAATTAGTATTTAGAATTTTAGCCATTTTCTATAACACTAAGAGACGAGGGTATAAAAAAGGTTACTTTTTATTTTTAAAACTTTACATTGCAATATAAATCATTGCATTTCAAATGTTGTTTAAAAAAATGTTTCTTATAGGTATAGTAGGTATAATATCTTAGTTTGTTTTTACAGTTTTTTCAAACACTTTTAGGGTTAATTCAGAACAATTATTTAAAAGTTTTAAGTAGAAGACACTGCAGATAAATGTCGCAACATACATTTTTAACGGTGTTCAATTACCAGTCGTGTAAATATAGGGTCTATTATACCTACTCTATATACCTACCTAAAGTATAAACATTATGGAATACTGTTTTTATTAGAAAACACACAGAGGAAAATTACCTACATATGGTTGTAAAAGCCATACAGAAATACTTTTAAAGTTTTAACTACAGTTAGATATATATAAACAGTAAAGACTGTTTGTATATCTGACTGTATTTGTTAAAACTTTAAAAGTATTTTTCAGAAATATTTGTCAAACTAATGCGATCTGTAATGTTTTTGTTTTAAATTGCTGTACAATGTACATTCTACTACTAATCCACACTACACAATAAATACTTTAATTTTTTCACATTAATATTAAAGGTCATTAATTTGTAATTTTGTTTTGATTGAAATCAGTAATAAGTGCTCATATTTACTATTATAAGTTATAACTGTTATTTTGGCATTGGTGTTTGCATAGGTATCCATGTTATTGTTAGCAGTGGCGTAGCCAGAGGGAAGGTTTGGGTGTTTAAGCCCCTTCACCGAAGTTCCTCCTCCCCAATAAATGTATTGTTTATATACGAAAACTGTACAAAAATTGGTTTAATTTAACCCCTCACCCCCATTTCATAATCCTGGTTACGACACTCGTTGTTAGCAAACTAAGTGGAACGTTTATTTCACTATCAAATAATATACTAAATACAAATATTATATATTATTGCTTGGAGTTTTTTTTGGTACACCTGTTTACAGTGCAATATTTTACAATTGATACTATACCTACAATTGTATTAGGTTAAGAGGACGTGATACCCGCATGTGTTGTTCCGTCTTACAAGTGCATAACATAACAAATTTTACGCTTAGGAATACACGTGTAGCTCCGTTAATTTAAAAATTAGAGTAAATCAACCTCTTATACAATCTAAAGGTAAGATTATTATCTAGACAACCTTATGGGCTTTTTATTATATTTCAATTTTTAAACGAGCTATGAGTATTTTAAAATTGTAAATTGTTTATAGATTTTAAAGCACTCATGACTAGCTTAAAAATTAAAATATTATAAGAAGCCCATAAAGTTGTCTAGATCTTACCTTTAAATTGTATAATAAGTCAATTCACTCTCAATGCTTTTAGGGGGTTCCTTCAGTATTGTATTCCATTATTAATTTGTATAATTTTTATATAATTTTTTTTGTATTGTTTCAATAAAATTATTATTATTATTACTTCAATAATATTGAAAATACCAAAACCATTTGGATATTTACTCACAGGTTTTTTTTGATGTCAATTATACTGATTGCCGATTTAGGTACTATATTGATACAATATTCATTGTGAATACCTACTGAATAATTATCGTAACTAGTTACCTAGGCGTTTAATTACACTATTTACTTTAATTTATACAAATATTTTAATATATAACAATAACTATGAGGTACCTACAAATTTTCTTAAGGTACCTAACTATTTAGTTTTATGGTATTTAAATTTAAAATTAACTTTGTTTCTTTTTAAATTTATCTTATACTTTTGTGACATTATTATGGTCTGCTCCTTTCCGATTTTTCTATCAATATAGCATTTTATGTTGAATTATCTTTTTTTGATTTGGTATAAGAATATAGTTCTGGAAATGTATTTATATTTAAGGGGCCTCGCAATGGCATTGATTTAAGGAGAATCATTTAGGCAATTTCTAATCTCGTCGTCGCCACCCGAGATCTATGTGTTAGTCGTAAATGATTATTAGTGTGTGTGGCGTCCATGCGGGTCAATTGTAGTGGTGCGGAGGGCTCTCGCACGCACTCGCACACACATGTCAATATATAATAATATTGTGATCATGAAAAAATGCTTATTAGTTATTTTTCACTTAAACATACGATTCTAATTCCAACAGTACGTCGCAACGATTACCTCGATTTTCATTCTGACAAAATATTCTTATTTTCCACAACATGTACGAGGAATCGATCGAGGCACATTTTCAAAATTGTATTTAGTTAATTAAATATTTAAGTTGGAAATTCTGTATTTTTATTTTGATTTTTTTACAATTTTTATTGCAATTTAAATTACAAAATTAAAAATGTGGCTCGATCGTTCCCTTGTATATATTACGGACAATCAGAATATCTTTTCAGAATGAAAATCGCGATAATTGTCGACACGTATCGTTGGAATTAGAAACAGTAGTTTTTGACAAAAAAAAGACTTGGTAGTGAGGCCCCTTAATATTTTTTTTTTACTATTTTTCTGATGATGTTTGTATGATTGCATTTAATAATGTCTTTTCAAAAGCAATTTTCTTATTGGAATGTTTTAGCACAATAAAGCACCTAATTTATTCAGTATACAAAACATAAATATTTTTTTATGCAAATAATATTACCTACATAATATTTTACTATCCTATTAAATTAGAGAGAATAATTTATTAAAAGAAAACATAATTTTTCATCAATTGCTTTTAGCTCTACTCAGACATCAGTTTATGATATTTGAGATCCAAATAAACTTGAAATTGTTTTATTAATATAAGTCATAATTGTGTATTTATTGTCATAATTCACAAGTCACAACCATTATTTGCATTACATTTATTAAAATAGTGTTGAATATTTTAGTAAAAACAATTTTATTGAGTTAAGTAAACAAACAACAGTTCGTAGCAAATATTTACTTATTGTTATAAATGTTAAACGTGTTACTTTATTAATTTCATAAAATATTGTAATAACTTTACTCTTATAACTTTCATAGATATTATACATACAAATGTGTATCATAATTGAGGTCAATATTTTAAATATAAATTTGAATTTTTTAATGAAAAATACGAAATTAGGTTAATTGTATTGTTTGAATCAAATAAAATATGTAAGAATATAAAGTATAAACAAATATATTGGTACTATTCAATCGATTGATTTGGGAAAAATTATTTGTTACTAAATAAACTGTACAAGTATCACTGGAAAACTTATTGATTGGTTTAGACCACGGTAGATTATAATAGGTAATCTATAATCTACCTTGGTTTAGATTAACCATATAAACAATTTGTGAGATATAATCCATAAGTATTATGTCTGATACAGATTATTTTATGAAGATTCTTAAGTTCTAAACATCTAAACATCTAAACAAACAAAAATGCTATCTATATATTAGAAGAATTGAGTGAAACTTTCATTAGAATTATTCCATTAAAAAAAAATAAATACTTCAAAATTACACTGTCTTAAACTTAAGAGTTTAACTTAAATTAAGAAAATTTATAAATATGGAAATAAAAAAAAAGAGGGTAAGTGTATGTCACTCTACTGTACAGTAGGTTACAAGTGGGTCATTGTATAATGGATTGTATTAAACTTGAATTCAATTGTAATAAGAAAAACGATTCTAAGCGGAGACTATTTGTCAGTCTGGATATTTTATAATATTGTCATTAATTATTATATCACGTAATAGTTGAATTAATATTATAATATTATTATTTTTTATTCGTTTCTATGGTAATAAACAAAGCGTTAGAAATTAAAATCCAATTTCAAGCGGTTTTTCGTAATTTGTCAGTAGTTTTTCCAGTGGCATTAAATAACTACTGAGAAAACCGAAAAATGACCTCTTTAAAGTACCATCTTGATCCAATTTGCTAAAAGATAAGGTACTATATGTTGAAATCGAAGAACTCCTTCTGGTAGAAATTTTGTATACAGGATATAAAAATTTAAAAAATTAAAAAAATTAAAAAATAAACACCATTGTAAAACAACTAGCTTCCTCGCTCCGCTCAGAATCTAATAAAACTCTTATCATAGTAAATTAATATATGTTTAATTAACTGTTATGTGGCAGTTTAAACTTTAAGTACATAAATACATTTTATTTTCTTAGTTTGTAATTATTTCCGAAATTTCGTCGTACTTATGAAGGTCTTTTAATTAATTCAAAGTTATTGAATGTATAAAATACAAATATATATAGCGTACATATTATATAGGTATATATATTTTAGTTTAATAGCTTAATAAACAAACAAATAAATAAACATCTTATGAAATATAATTGAGTTAAAATAATACAACTTTTTTTTTTTAAATAATTCATGCAAGTATTTGTACGCTTTTATTATGACTTAGATGAGATTAAAACAATGTGTTATCATCATGGCTCGGAAGTTCTAGAAAATATATATTTTTCTTCGTTTGTCATAGAACATCCAAAGTAAGATACAAATATGTTTCAAACTTCTCTGATATCATACACGAAATTTTATTTTGTTTTTTTTGCATATTTACTGTTTTTATTGCTGTTTTGCTAATTTTATAAAATTGTAAAATTACATTTAATTATTTTTCTAATAAATTTATAATTTTTTCAAGTTGAATGCATATTTTCTGATTTTTCGTGCTATTTATAGCATATTTTGGAGTTTTTGGAGTTTACATATTTAAGAGCTAAAAAGTAACATTTTTGTGCTACAACTTCCAAGCTCTGGTTATAATTATATTGTAAGATTGAATAATGTACTGAGTAGGTATTTATTTGTATTGGCGTGTTTTTATGCCTCAAATTTAGGTAATTTATATTGTTTGTTGTATATAATAGGTAATCAATGCTTGGAGTCCGATTCGTGTCAATCGAATTTGACTTCGGACGTTTATCATTGTGATGAAACATACTGTATACCAAAATCGTTTGTTTGCAACGGCATACCGGACTGTCTTCAAGCCCAAGATGAAGCTGTATCTGAATGTGGTAATATATTGAAACTTTTATTTTTAAACTACGCTATTTGAGTTTTTTATAAGGTATAAAGTTTATAAAGATAATTTGTTTCAAGTAAATCATTATAAATTATAAACTTTATTTTATTGATTTTGAAGTACATATGTTACGGTCAAAAGCCGAAATCGGGCAAACCTCAGAAATGCCCGGGCAAAACGCGAACTGCCCACAATCCTTGGGCAAAATGTCATATTTCGGCTTTTGACCGGGCAAACCTAGTTATGACCAACCTCATTTGGGCAAAACCGTATACTGACTTTTATTGTAATAGCATAACCGTAGTGTCTTATATACGTTCTATAATATTAAATATAAATAGTGATTTTTGTCGTACGAATATTAAATACAAATATAATTGAATAAACTTAATTAATACATTTAAATTGTTTATATTTTTGTCATACGAATATTAAATACAAATATAATTGAATAAACTTAATTAATACATTTAAACCTCACTTGAGCCAAACTGTAGCGTTTATAATAACCACATACAAAAAAATAATAATCATAAAATATTGTACAGATATAATTGAATACACTTAAATAATAATAAAAATATAATGATGTTAAGTACTCGTTTAAAAATAAACATATAATAATATTACGTACTCGTATAATGTTAAAATAAATAATTGAATATAATAATAAAAAATAATATTTTTGTTTATTTGTTGCTACACATATTAGAACCATGGCATTTAGAACTACACAAAATATTTAGTTGTTTACATTTGCATCGTCTCGTAGTGCACTTAGTTTTGCAAGAACAAAAAATAAACCCTTGTCCTCCAGTTAATGAATTTTGAGTACTAGCAGTCCTCAGTGGTATTTCGATATTCGGTACATCATTGCTATTAATAAATTGTTCCTTGCATTGAAATATTTGGTTTCTGGCATAAAGTGATGACAAAATTCCATTTTTGGTTCCTATTTTATAGAATCCTCATAGTAACATAATAACACTTAGCATGATTTCTATACACAAGGCACTGATTTTACTGCGTTTCACTGTTAGAGTAAAGATTAATTTCACGCTAATCATCAGTATTTTCCCGGCTTTTAAAATTTGTTTTTGTCAGGGACAATTCTAGCAATAAGATTAGCCATAAGTAATTATATGATAATTTTTAGGTTAAATATTGAAAGCTTTGAAGTCAGTACGACCTACGGTGTAACCTACAAATATACGATATACTTACATATGTCCTATAACACTAAATATAGATCTAGGGTCCATTGCCACTATTTAGTATTACCCGCTCAATGCTTTTGGGGATAGCGGAAATTGCCACCTGTATGTGCATGAGTTCCCACCCATAATTTATTACGATGAGCATGTGGCTTTACGAATATTTTTCTTAAAATTCTATTTAGATTAACTTTAAAAGAATCGTGGTTGAATTTTAACCCTTATGTATTAAAAATACACATTTTATAAATGTTGATATAGAAAACAGATTTGAACGTCTTAATATGTTTCCTTTAGATCCTACGCAGGAACAACCTTTTCCCATTTATTTATCTGAAAAAGTATAGATAGTCTTTGAATAAAAAAAAATGTCTATTTAAACATTTTTACATTTTTAAAGCCATATTTTGGTAAGTGAATGTTCAAATGTATTTAAAAGTTGTTATTAAGATATAAATAAGACAAGATAATAATTAGTAAGGAATCCAAACTTGTTTTTAAAACCCATATCGCGTTAATTATTTTTCTGATTAAATCGATCAGTATTCAGCACGTATCTATGTTGGAGTGAAAATAGTTTTTTTAGTATGAAAAATAGTCGGTTTTGAATCCCTTCAAGAGTTATTGAAATTTAAAATGTCCTTCCACCTGGTAGAAAATTTCTCCTACTTCCGGTTAGAAATTGACCGAATACCATAAATACCTATTATGTGTATGGACTTATATAGAATTATTTGTAATTTATAGAAATAATAGTTTAGAAATCCATATGAAATTACTAAATAGTATCAAATCAGTTAACTATTTAAGTACAACATTTATAGGAAATTAATTGGTTCAAATATTTTAAAATTAAAGATTTACTAAGTTAATTGATATATTGGAAGGTGCCTATTTAGTATTTAGTTAAATGAGTGTCTTAATATTTTTGTATACATATACGATATTCCTATAGCATGTTATATAATATTATATACACTATTTTGAGGATTATATTATTATAGTTTACATTATAATGAAATATTAATATTTACAAAATAAACCTTTTTGATAGTAAATTGTAGTTTTAGTTGTACAATTAAAAATATAATTTAACTTAAAGTAGATGAGAATACTTTTACTTAATAGTGGTTATTTATAGTATGGATTATGGTGAATCGTATTAATAATTACGAAACCTGAGTCATTCGTCTTAAAACACCCCATAGGACGGTGATCTATCAATCTATCACTCGCCCTATCTTTGTACTCAAGTTAAGTAGTCAAGCCTGTTACAGACTTTTAAAATCTTCTTTATTTTCTTATCCTTTATCTACACAACTGATCAAACAAGTATAGGTTATATAAAACCAAATATTTCTAAATAGGTACCAACATCGAGAGAATCAAGTTCTTTAGTGAAAGTTTTATAACTAACTAAATAATCAATCATCATAATATAAACGTTGTTAATATTCAATTTATTGTATACTTAAAATATATTATTATTATTTTTTCCCACATTTTTCCTCTCTAAACAATTGTAAGTTGATGTATTATATTGTGGAATGACTGATCTATAACATTTATATGAAGTACGAACACTAATAAGAACATTTACATTGCTGTTACGTAAATTGGATCTGGCTCGTAACATTACAATATTTTTGAAAACATCACATATACATAATTATTATAGAGTATTGCATATAGTTGGATAATTCTCATAGTCTAAGACACATTTGGTTCAGTATTGTAATTTATCGAATTATATTTTATATAAACACTCATCTTAAAGATACATTAATGATTGTAAATTATTAAAAATGTATACAGAATATCGATTAATCTGAATATTATTGGCAACTAGCAAGTTAACTTAAGAGAACACCACACACCTTATATTAAGGGGTTTAATATAGGAAATTTTAAAAATATTTAAAATGTTAAATCATAAAATAATATATATTTAAATAACAATTCAAAGTAAATTAAAAGTGGTCCCATGACAGTATTAACAATGGCAAATGGTTGTTGCATAATAATGTGATTATACAGAAAAACGGGTTTGTGCGGGATAAACTTTCGAGTAGGTACATTATTTACAGTAGATTTACCAAATTTTTACTCTTCATAGAAGAGAACTTTATCTGTGTCAAAGCGTTTTTATTATTTTCGACATCAATACTCAATAGTTTTCAATAAACAAATGAAAAAACAAATAAAAAAGAATCTGTACGAATGAATAATTTGGATTATCTTCAAGTTCTAAAAAAATTAAAACACTAGATATACAACTACGACATCGACAACCATATATTTCTGCTATATGTATGGTAGAAATTTGGTAAAGCTGCTGTGAATACTGTCTCCGAAAGTTTGTCCCATCAATTTTCATTGATAAATTATGGGTGGTGTGGCATCCTTTTAATGAAATCCAGAAAATGTTGATACGATGTGATGTGTTACTAATTTATTTCTAGTACAATTATACAAATCTTAATATTATAGATAGTACCTACTTATCGCCTAATTAGGTTAGTTAAAAGTAGTACCTAAATAGTATTTATTATTTATTTCAATAAGTATATTGAAGTATAGCTTATTACAGGGATATTATTGTTTTTAATTTAAATTACCTAACATTTTTATAGAATTTCGAGAATAAAGTATTTTTTGTTTTTCAAAGTTCTTTAATAATTTTTGTATTCTATTAGGATATATTTTTTAAATTAGTTTTTTATATTGCAACACCATTTGAGCTATAAGCGTCTTGGAAGATTATCCAGAATGGTTATAAGGAGTAAGGACGATCAATTTTTAATAAGTGGATTGGAATATGAAGTTTTATTCTGTGAAATTCATTATAAAGTTATTTAGCTTCTTTATGTATTGAAATATGATAAGGAGGAAGTAGGAAAATAAACATTTTTTAGTTTTAAAGGAAGGCCAAATGGCTCTTGGTCCACCCTTTCAAAGCAAAGAAGACCTAAAAGTTATGCCTACATAATGTCTTCAGTTATAATTTAAGATATATATTATATAACTTTTTATGTTCAAACTAGACGTCATTGAAAATAACAACTGTTGGATCGAAAAGGTGAATAATTTTATAATTTGTTTTAAAGCCAAAAACTAGTTATTTAAAAATGTTGAGTTAAAAGCTAATTACTAGTTTTACTATGTATTCTTTCTACAACACAATTTGAGATCATAAAAACTTAATTTATGATTTTCAATTTAAAAATACTAACTCAATAAAGCCTTTTTCATGTGGGGTTTCAATCACAACCTAGGTGGGATCCAAGTTTTACTTCCACTTAACCTAACCCAATAAAAATGTAGGCAGCAAGTGCACATCATCGCACTCATATAGTCATATGTATATCGTAATATTGTGAGCCAAATGGTTTTTACTAATATCTACAATTTAAAAATTTATATTTACATATTTTCTTAAACTATTATGTTTTTATAAAATATTTATGTTTTTCACGTGTTTACAAGGCATGTATCGAGTTGCATAAAATATGTATTAATTTAATGATGCACTACAATTTAATGGAACAAGGCTACTAAATCATCCTTAAAAGACCATTAGTTCACTATTGGTTCATTAAATGTTCAGTGATTGTTTATGCAACCCGGCATTAATATAATAATCTCATTTAATTATTCAGTTAAAAGTGTCTGTTGTTAATAATAATTACATTATGTTTTTTTTAATTTATTCTTTAAGAATATGTTTAATTGTTTGATTTTTACTATCACAATCACATGGGGAATAATCTTTCATTTA